AAATACAAATGTTTGTAGAATACATATGTCGTAAGAGAGGTAATTTATTAAATATAAGAGATATACATTTTATTATATTTACTATAAACATTTCGGACACTTATCGTTACTTCCCCTAACTAAAACGTAGTCATCATCTTTTCTGCAACACAGTGCAGCTGAATTATTAATTATCATAAATACACATATGTACACCTGACCACTTCTAGAGGAAATTTTGCTAGGCGATAACAAGTTCAGAAATTTTTCAATCTCTCTCGTCAAATAAAGTGACAAATTCGAATTATTATTACATAACTTTGAATGTATATACTGAATTGAAACAGTAGCCTTCTCATCTATATACTTAAGAACAAAAGACGTTTGCTATATTATAATTTTTTTTGAAGTTTCGAAAAATTCAAAAATCAAGATTTTTTAATTTGAATCAATATGGAAGCAATCTCGGCGAAATAATTCATAAATACCCACGTATACCACGTATCGCCTTTTAAACATCTCTTTAGTTGCGCACAGAACATATTTCTATCCGATGTAACATTTCTGAAACAAAAAGATACGTGTCAAGAATTAAGTTCGTGTAAAAAAATATTAGAGCAAGAATTTGTATTTAAAAAATATTGTTATTTGTATTAGTTGTTATTAAACATACAGGTCAGTAACTTTCCATTTTCGAAAGATGATATTCTTATGTATTATTTGCCACTCTGATCAATCGATAAATCAATGGCGATTTAACTTACTATAAAAGCATCGTTGTTGGATTTTCCATCAAATCTTTAAAGGCGGCTAACCATTGTGCGCCTACCGCACCATCAACAGTACGGTGATCGCAGCTGGCAGTTACAGACATATATTCGGCAGTCGTAAAACTGCAAAAATTTGCATATTAATACTCGTATGCCATAAAATGTGAAACTAAATTTGTCTAAAAATATTACGCCAAGTTACCCTCTCTCGTTTTTGGCAGGTATCAGTCTAGCTTCCGTGGTGCCAATAGCAAGAATGATAGACTGTGGAGGATTTATTATAGCTGAAAAATTCTTAATGCCAAACATGCCCAAATTGGACACGGTAATCGTTCCTCCTTGAAACTCGTGCGGTTTTAATTTTCCTTCCCTCGCCTTTGCGGCCAACGCTTTCACGTCTTTACTGATTTGAACTATACCCTTCGTATCGGCACCAAACACTATAGGAGTGATTAGACCGCTATCCGTACTCACTGCTACACTAACGTCCACGTTATTATATCTGGAAGAAGATATTCAATAAATGCGATAATATTCAATATAAAATATTGCAACAATATGTATTCAAACATAAGTAATATAATAATATAATAAAATACAAATATTTAAATATACATGTAAATGTATCAAACTGCATTTTATAATAACATATAAAATACTCACTGTCGAATTACATTTCCTAACCAGGCGCTGTTGCCTTCTGGTACTTTTTTACAAGCCATTGCTATTCCTTTAATGATAATGTCATTTACGCTCAATTTGATCTTATCTTTTTCTAACAATTTATTAAACTGTTCTCGCATCGCCAATGCAGCATCCATTTTTACATCTACCGAGAGGTAATAATGCGGGATCGTCTGCTTGCTTTCCAACAGGCGTTTAGCAATAACCGCACGTATATTCGACACAGAGATATCTACTCCAGTTGGCGCGCCAACCCCAGTTATCGGTTGTACTGGTTGTATCGCCGCACCCTCCAAATCTTTAGATGTTATAGACCCATATAATCCTGTTCCCGTTAGACCCTACAAAGAATAGCATGAAGAATAACACATAAAGAATACAAGTTTTATATCTACAAACTATCACAAAAATGAGTGCATAGGATGTCTTAATTCAATATTACACAAGTTAATAATGAAGAAGAAATATTACAGAAATCAAATTGAAAGAGTGGAGAAATAGAAAGGCAAATTAGCTCGTACTTGCCTCCATTCTTTCAATTTGATTTATAAATCAGCAATCTTGCAGCACCTGTAAACTAAGTCCTTTTTCAGCTGCTAATCTTCTCGCTAATGGACTAGCGTATATTCTTTCTCCGGAAGGTGGTGCAATAGAAGGAACTTTTGCGGTAACTGGTGTAGCTTGTGCTGCCGGTGCAGCTGTAGGTGGTGATGTAGGTACTGCAGGAGCTGCTGGTGTAGGAGACACAGCTACTGTGTCTTCTTTAAAATCTTTGAATGCAGCTACGTTAGATTCGTCTTGTACAATAATGCAAACCAGTTTGCCTATAGGTACGTTCTTTGTTCCCGCAGGTACTAAGATTTTGGCTAGATAACCTTCTTCGGGAGTTTCAAATCCCATAGTAGCTTTATCTGTTTCAATCTCTGCTAACAGATCACCTTCGTTCAATTTGTCACCTAATGAATCACATATAAAAAGTCAATATATTTAACAAACATCTGTATATTCAGAAAAATTAAATCTATATTTGTTATATCGTAATATCTATAGATGATTTACCCTCTTTCTTCTGCCAACTGATTATCGTTCCTGTTTCCATGGTGGGAGACAACGCTGGAAGTGGGACCTTGATGTGATCGGGATAATCGGCATAAAACCTGAGCTGTTGCTGCCATGGTGTCGAGACGAAACGCAAAGCACTGTGAAGTCTAAAACATCGAGAGAATTAATATTATTATCCTACGCTATTACATTTCTTTTTGCGTGATAAATGATGATTATGTAAGCCTCTCCGTCTATGTTGATAAGAGGTTAATATTCGAATATTTCACCATATAAACCCACTAGGAGTTTGTGCCAGATCACGTTTAAATTGACGTTGAAATAACCTTAAAGACCGTCCCCGATCGCGAAATTTGAAAATTACAAAAAGATTCGAGCGCGAGACCAACTCCGAGTAGTGGATGCAGTACCTCTGCTGATGTTTTCTGTGAAGACACCGGACGACTATAGATCTAGTGCCGAATCGCACAGAACCACAGACGATCGCGCGTGCCAACCCGTTACGTAGGCTCAACGTAGTTCGTATCATATCTATCGGGATTCTCGACGGTGTCACGAGCTGATCCGGAAGCCCTCGATGAGTCCGAAATGAATCTAAAACGGATCCACTCGCCTGACGAGGTGACGGTGACGATGATCTCGATGGTCCGTCAACAAATTCGACGTAAATGCGAAACTGTACCAGATGACGGACGATGTTAAATGCCGAGCCGAGACGAGAGGTCGTCGGCAAGGTCACGTGGTTCCACGCATCGGAGGTGCTGCCTGTGCAGTGAAGATGATTGAGAAAAGTGGAGTCAGCAAAATTAACAGGCGTTCGGGAGAACAGCCGACGATGTTCTCTGAATGTTTTTTTTTTAACAGTGTCGATATTTTAGCTGGTTGTAGTACTGTACAGACGGATATTCGGATATGGGGATAGAACTATGAATCTATCGATTTTGTTTTGACGATAGAAACTCGAGTTGTTCGAATAACTAATACAAAGCATCTAAGAATTAAATGATGTTATACTATATCGATAACAAATCGAGGTAAATGTTTAGTATAACGCTCTCCTCTTCGATTTTCTTAAAACTTTGTAAAATTGTTTATTTCTGTGTGTAAAAAACAGAATGTCGCTCAGGTCTCGTTTTTTTTAAATTTAATTTCAAAGTTTTGATGTCGGTAAAGTAGGAAAATGATAATTTACGTTTTTAAAGTACTGCGCAACTTCATT